CCCACACCCTCTAGCAGATCATTACATGAAGGAACCTTTTAAACACAAGCGCACTCATGCTAACAGGTGTACACACGGGTGCTCACACACACAAACTACACCCTTTTTGGCTCCTACCTCAAAGCACAGTGCGCTGTCGATCTTACGTGCTGCACAATAACATTCAATATTTAGTATTTACTGTTATATTCACATAGATCATCGCAATGATGTTGTTTATTATATTGCTCTTTTTTTGCTTGTTTTCTCTTTTTTCTTTCTCAACAGGTGATCCAGGTGATTGATATATGTATTTTTTTTTTGTCTGTTTGTTTTGTTGGTTTTTGATTTTTGCCCTTTATCACTGTTCCTCTTCCCCACTGTTTTTCTTTCCCCTTTTTCTTTCTCCCCTTTCTTTTCCCCAGTCAAGTCTGTCCCGTATCTAGCAACTGAAAATAAAATAAAATAAACAATAAAAGGTGAATCAAATAGACCATTATGGCAAGGCTGGGATGGTCCATTTGATAAAGTAAATCCGTTGGGCATCTTTCTTCACCTTTAGACAATAATTCTGATGGCAAAAGAGCCAAACAGGACAAGCAAAAAAATAAATTAATAATAATAATAATAATAATAATAATAATAATAATAATAATAATACTTCAAACCAAAATCACTGAGTCCACGGACCATGACAATCTCCAATTCTCTGAGCACTACATATAAATATTATTTAAGTTTATGTAATGTTAGGGTAACCAAAATTATTTTTTTCACGTGTAGCATTATTTTGGTGCTTTTCAGATCTTTCCCAACCACTAAGTAGATACTGGAGCTAATGGGACGTTATTTTTCCAACCTACAGAAATACTGTAAGTCATCACAGGATTTAAAATCTCCATAAGTAAACTTCAGAGATTTATTTTAATCAAGAAACCAAGGTCAGCAACCAATCAGAAAGCTTCTGTTTGACCCACATTCACTGATGATGACTGCACACAACCAATCAGTGTGTTACTCTGATATCAAATATGGATCCTGCTCTTCTAATAACGATCATCAAATGATATTATTTTGTTGCTGAATATGTTTGTGTGATTATCAGTGAAAGAAGCAGTGAGGAGGATGGAGAAAAGTTAGAATCCCAGAAAGTGTTTTTTATAGATTTCATGGATGATTTGATTGATTTCCAGCAGGACACTTAAACATGTCAGTGGACGTTCTAAAGAACAAGAACCTTGGAGGAGGGATAGCTCAGGAGGTTGCCCCATGATTGGAAGGTCGGGGGTTTGAATCCACTTAACAGCTACTCTGAGGTACCCCTAAGCAAGCTCCAGTCTCTACACACTGCTCCCCTTTGCGCCTGCTTAGTAGCTGCCCAATACTTCACTGAGTGAATGGGAGAAATGCAGAGAGATCAATAAAGTATACATTATTATTATTATTCACTGATATGAAATGTGTCTTTGAATAGGATTAATATCAGTGGAAACATGGTGGAAACAGCTGTGACTACATTGATGTGACACACTTCAAATCTGTTCTCCACTCTTGGATTTGGGATCCTTGGAGCTGCTGCTGAGTCTGTACAGTAAAGGAATCGTCTGGAAGGTTGCAGCATACGGACACAAACACTTTGTGGTTACAACCTAAACCTCCCACCGTCTATAAAGCACTGATGACATCATGACTGACAGGTTTGTATTGTTGGATTGTCATTTATGCTTAGAAATTTAAAATCATTTATGCTTAGAAGTATATAATTGTTTGTAGATTGGTAGATTGATAGAGATTTGATCCTTAGCAGTTTGTAAAGACTCTGTGTGCTTTCCAGAGCGTTCTGGCATGCACACACACACCCTAAGGTCATGAGATAGGTCATACCTTCTCTTCTCTGATTTATATTAAGGAGGACACCTACTCTGTATCTGTTTAAGCATAAGAGCCCTTTGTTTAAGTGAACTGTTGGACTCCCTGGTGCCAGCAGGTTTGGAGAGTCTTCACAGGGTCACATATCAAACACACACACACACACACGTTGGACTGGTACTGGTACTCTTTGTTCACATGTATGTCTGTGTAAGACATCATGTGTTAATGAACCTATGTATATTAATTTAACCACAATAAAGAGCAGTGGGGGGGAGCTAACTGAGAGAGACTGGGATGAGCGACAGAAACACACTCATCACAGATCTCTCCCTCATGCACGAGCAACACAAAGAGCTCTGGTGACTTGTGTCTTGTTTTGCTAGTGTAGTAGAATTGTTTTGGCATTCCAGCAAATAGGTTTATGCTACAAACCTATCAATGACCTTTGGCCAGCACTGCCAGGAGTTAGCTCGTGGATATAAACAGCAGCCAAAAAGACAGCAGTGAATTCCATCAGCAGAAAATAGGGACAACATTTAAACAGCGACAACTAAACATTGAACAATCAGCTCTGTGATTAATGATGTGTTTCATGAAGTCAGACATTGGTCATTAGGAGCAGCAGCAGGAATGAGAGTGAATCCATGTGCTGCTGTGACATCAGCGTTAGATCACATATTTGACACATGTTCAGTCCAGATGTCAGCAGTGTCTTCTCACTCAGTTTGTCCCACTGTTGGCAGTAGGAGAGCACAGCTGGTTCACCTCTGAGCCCTCACTCTGAACCACAACACTGTCACTCATCAGTACATCACACTTTAATCACACTAAACCAGAGTCTTCCTCAGCACCGTCATCCTCACTCACCATGTTTATGCCACAAAATACAGTGTCCACTTAATTTCCTCTTCAATCAGAGTCAGAAAAAGACGTTAATTAATTACTAATTTACACAAATTAATGGTGTTAATGATCACATCTGGACTCACCGAGCCTTTCTGCAGTTCCTCACAGCTGGAATCAGTCTCTGTCGTCCCCACTGTGATGTGTTGTACTTATTTATGTCCAATTCCTCTATAACCTCCTCTGACATCTGCAGCATGAAGGCTAGAGCTGAGCAGTGTATCTCAAAGAGTTCCTTCTCTGATCTGTTCTCTGATTTCAGGAACTCTTGGATTTCTTGCTGTACTGAGAGGTCATTCATCTCCATCAGACAGTGGAAGATGTTGATGGTTCTGTCAGGACAGATTTTAAAAGTCTGCATCTCCTTCAGGTTGTTGATGACTCTCTGGATAGTTTCTGAAGTGTTCTCTATAGGACCCAGCAAACTTCCCAAGAGTCTCTGGTTGGACTCCAGACAGAGGCCATGAAGGAAGCGAACAAACAGGTCCAGGTGCCCATTTTTACTCTGCAGGGATTTATCCATGACTTTGCACAGGAAACCATCCAGAAATGAATCATTACATTGTATCCTCAGGAAGTCTTCCACCACACCTCTCTTCCTGTTGGTGTGACAGTGGAACATGTAGACTGCAGCCAGAAACTCCTGAATGCTCAGATGAACAAAGCAGTAGACTGGTTTCTGGAAGATCACACACTCTCTTTTGAAGATCTCTGTACAAACTCCTGAGTACACCGAGGCCTCTGTCACATCCAGACCACACTGCTCCAGGTCTTCGTGGTAGAACATGATGTTTCGTTTCTCCAGATGTTCAAACGCCAGCCTCCCCAGCTTCAGGAGAACTTCCCTTTCAGCCTCCGTCAGCTCCTGTGGACTCGTCTCATGTCCCTCGTGGTACTTATTCTTCTTCGTCTTTGTCTGAACCAGCAGGAAGTGTGAGTACATGTCAGTCAGAGTCTTGGGCAGCTCTCCTCTCTGCTCTGTAGTCAACATGTGCTCCAGAACTGTAGCAGTGATCCAGCAGAAGACTGGGATACTACACATGATGTGGAGGCTCCTGGATGTCTTCATGTGGGAGATGATTCTGCTGGACAGCTCTTCATCACTGATACTCCTCCTGAAGTACTCCTCCTTCTGGGCGTCAGTGAAACCTCGTACTTCTGTTAGCCTGTCAACACATGTAGGAGGGATCTGATTGGCTGCTGCAGGTCGGGAAGTTATCCAGACGAGAGCCGAGGGAAGCAGATTTCCCTGGATGAGGTTTGTCAGCAGCTGGCTGACTGATGACTTCTGTGTGACATCAGACACCAGCTTCCTGTTGGTGAAATCCAATGAAAGTCTGCTTTCATCCAGGCCGTCAAAGATGAACAAAAGCTGAGAGACAGCCAGCTTCTCTGCTGTGACCTTCTGTAATGTTGGATGGAAAACATGGAGCAGCTCCAGAAGACTGTACTGTTCATCTCTGATCAGGTTCAACTCCCTGAATGAAAGCAGAACCACCACACTGACATGTTGGTTCTCCAAGCCCTCTGCCCAGTCCAGAGTGAACTTCTGCACTGAGAAGGTTTTTCCAACACCAGCCACGCCGTTGGTCAGAACCACTCTGATGGGTCTCTGTTGGTCAGGTAAGGCTTTAAAGATATCCTGGCACCTGATTGGACTGTCATGGAGGGCGTCCATCTTGGAAGCTGTCTCCAGCTGCCTCACCTCATGTTGGGTATGAACCTCTTCACTCTGTCCCTCTGTGATGTAGAGCTCAGTGTAGATGGTGTTGAGGAGGGTTCTACTTCCTGTTTCATCACTTCCTTCAGTCACACATTCACATCTCCTCCTCAGACTGATCTTATGTTCATCTAAAACCTCCTGCAGACCAACATCTGCTGAAAGAAAGAAAAACAATGAGACTAAACAGAAAGAAAACTCTTCAGTGTCTGAAAAACACAACACGAAGTCCAGTTTTCAGAAATGAGTCCATCAGCAGACAGATGTTCAGTCTTACTTTGTACACAGCTGCTCTGACTGGCTGTCTGCAGTCCAGCTCTGGTTCTTGATCTTTCTCCACACTGGAGACAGGAGGAGTATTCTGATGAAGCAGACTGGTCCCAGTATGAGGAGATGCACTGTCTGCAGAACCAGTGTCTACAGCTGCTAGAGACTGGATCCTTCAGGACGTCCTGACACAAAGCACAGCAAGACAGCTGCTCTTCCATCCCACTTCTCTTCCTCTCTCTGTGAACATATTTCTTTATCACTAACATTTTTACTGACTGGCACGGCCATGTTCCTGGGTCTGTTGACCCAGCATTTTCGTTTATTTTGATGTTGGTTAGCGAAGTTCATTTGTTCATTTCTTCCCCTGAATTTAAGTTTCCCTCACTCTTTATGTGTTTCATGCTGTGTGTCTTATGTTATCAAGTTTGCATTGCCATGTCTGCGTCTCATGTTTCCTGTTTTATTTTGAAGGTCTGTGTCCTATGTCAGTATACTCAGCTTTGCTTCCTTTGTCTTATTATGCCAGATTAGTGTCAGTTGTTTCCCCATGTGTTCCCACTTCCCTCATTAGCCTTCTGTGAGTATTTATTCTGTGTTTTCTCTTTCAGTCTTTGTCAGGTTGTCTGTTGTTCACGTCATGTTCTTTTTGGTTTTTTTTGTGTTGTTTGCTTAGTTCACCCAGTTTAGGTTAATGTTAGTTTTGCTTCAGTTTGACTTGCCCCTTGTTTGTACTTTTTTTTTTCATTAAACGGCTTGCTTTTTGTTAATACGCAAGTCTTGGTTTCACGTTCTTTTTTTGTCTGCATTTTGGGTCCTCTTTACAAATTCCTACAGTCTGTTTCTGCATACTGTGACAAGTGCTAAAAAATATCCAAAGTTGACAAGATTGTGAAGAAGTTCTCCTAATTCAGGCCCCGCTACCTACTGGAGGTTCCATAGGGGTCGGGCCAGTGTGTGCTGGGCAGTGGCCAGGAGCATAGGGCCTAGTAGACCGATCCCCGGCTACCAAGGATAGAGATTGGCACATGGAATTTCACCTCTCTGATGGGGAAGTAGCCTGAGTTAATGCGCAAGGTTGAGAGGTACCGACTAGATATAGTTGGGCTCACCTCAATGCAAACCTTGGGCTCTGGAATCAGTCACCTGGAGCAGGGCTGGACTCTGTCTAGTCTGGAGTTGCCCCTGGCAAGAGGCGGTGGTCTGGTTTGAGTGTCCTAGTATCCCTTCGGCTTGCTGCCTGTATGTTCGGGTTTCTCCCAGTGGACAAGAGGATTTGTTCTTTGCGCCTTCAGGTACTGAGGGGCTGAGCTGTCAACTGATCGCCACCTGATAGTGAGTTGGATCAGGTGGTGGGGGAGGACATTGGACAGACATTGCACACCTAAACATATAGTGATGGTATGCTGGGAACTGCTGGCAGAGGACCCAGTTTGCTAGATCTTCATCGCACACCTCTGGCAGAGCTTCAACAGCATTCTGAGGGAGACTGGGGATATTGATCCTGAATGGAGCATGTTCAGTATCTCCATTGCTAAGGCCCCTGCTGACTTCAACTGCGAAAATTGTTGGGCAGTGGAAGGAATACTTTGAGGACCTCCGTAATAATCCACCCTGAGTTCCTGAAGGCTCTGGATGTTGTAGGGCTGTCCTGGTTGACACGCCTATAATTTTTTGGTGGAGATCAGGGGGGTACCCCTGGATTGACTGGGGTGGTGGTTCACATCTTTTAGAAAGGGGACCAGAGGGTGTGTTCCAATTATAGGGGTATCACCCTCATCAGCCTGGGAAAGTCTATTCCAGGGTGTTTGAAAGGAGAGTCCATCCACGATTAGTGGAACCTCGGATACAGGATGAACAATGTGGTTTTTATCCTTGTCGTGGAACGCTGAATCAGCTCTTTATCCTCTCAAGCATACTTGAGGGTGCATGGGTTTTGCCCAACTAGTCTACAGTCGTGGCCAAAAGTTTTGAGAATTACATAAATATTGGAAGTTTGAAAAGACAGACCTCTCTGTGTTGAATCATATCTGTTATTAACCTCTGTCTCTCTTCCACAGCATGTCTTTTATCCTGTCTTCCTTCTCTCACCCCAACTGGTCGCAGCAGATGGCCACCCCTCCCTGAGCCTGGTTCTGCCGGAGGTTTCTTCCTGTTAAAAGGGAGTTTTTCCATCCCACTGTCGCCAAAGTGCTTGCTCATAGGGGGTCATATGATTGTTGGGTTTTTCTCTGTATCTATGAAGCGCCTTGAGGCAACTTTTGTTGTGATTTGGCGCTATATAAATAAAATTGAATTGAATTGAATTGAATTGAATTGAATTGAATTGAAAAGTTCCTGCTTAAGTTTTTATAATAGCAATTTGCATATACTCCAGAATGTTATGAAGAGTGATCAGATGAATTGCATAGTCCTTTCCCATGAAAATAACTTAATCCCCAAAAAACCTTTCCACTGCATTTCATTGCTGTCATTAAAGGACCTGCTGAGATCATTTCACTAATCGTCTTGTTAACTCAGGTGAAAATGTTGACGAGCACAAGGCTGGAGATCATTATGTCAGGCTGATTGGGTTAGAATGGTAGACCTGACATGTTAAAAGGAGGGTGATGCTTGAACTCATTGTTCTTCCATTGTTAACCATGGTGACCTGCAAAGAAACGCGTGCAGCCATCATTGTGTTGCATAAAAATGGCTTCACAGGCAAGGATATTGTGGCTACTAAGACTGCACCTAAATCAACAATTTACAGGATCATCAAGAACTTCAAGGAAAGAGGTTCAATTCTTGTTAAGAAGGCTTCAGGGCTTCCAAGAAAATCCAGCAAGCGCCAGGATCATCTCCTAAAGAGGATTCAGCTGCGGGATCAGAGTGCCACCAGTGCAGAGCTTGCTCAAGAATGGCAGCAGGCAGATGTGAGCGCATCTGCACGTGTAACATAGTTAAATAGAGTTGAAGTTAAATCCCGCTAAATGGGACATTGGCACCACCTACTGTTGAAAAAGTCACCCTGCAATATTCACAAAAGGCAAGGGATTCTGGGTAATCCTCAGAATAATGAAAGATTCCTGCGAGGTAAGGAATGCGCAAATGTCGTGGGGAGGAAAAATCATATCGCAGGCTGTTAAAGTAATACAGTCTGACCCGATTATTTTTGTTGTTTATACATCATTTGTTGCGGGTCATTTCTCCAGTCTTTATGTTGAATTGAGTGCACGTTTATGTGAGATTTCTTTATTGGGAAGAGAGGAAACAAAATGGGAGCATAGTTAGCTAACTCTGTTGTTGCTTTCCCGTTTAGATTTTGTGCTGATTGCCTACGACATTAAAAAGAGAGCATTCTAACCATTGCCTTTTTGTTGTGAATGCAGACCAGAGAAGACACTACACAGAGGTCACACACGCACAGTGTGGCAAAGACTTTTGGAAGATGGCCTGGTGTCAAGAAGGGCAGCAAAGAAGCCACTTCTCTCCCAAAAATACATCAGGGAAAGATTGATCTTCTGCAGAAAGTATGGTGAATGGACTGCTGAGGACTGGGGCCAAGTCATATTCTCAGATGATGAAGCCTCTTTCTGATTGTTTGGGGCATCTGGAAAAAGGCTTTTCCAGAGAAGAAAGGGTGAGTCCTGTGTCATGCCAACAGTAAAGCATCCTGAGACCATTCATGTGTGGGGTTGCTTCTCATCCAAGGGAGTGGGCTCACTCACAATTTTGCCCAAAAACACAGCCATGAATAAAGAATGGTACCAAAACACCCTCCAACAGCAACTTCTTCCAACAATCCAACAACAGTTTGGTGAAGAACAATATATTTTCCAGCACGATGGAGCACCATGCCATAAACTGTTGAAATTTTGGGTCCATGGCCTGGAAACTCCCCAGATCTTAATCCCATCGAGAACTTGTGGTCAATCCTCAAGAGGTGGGTGGACAAACAAAAACCCACTAATTCTGACAAACTCCAAGAAGTGATAATGACAGAATGGGTTGCTATCAGTCAGGATTTGGCCCAGAAGTTGATTGAGAGCATGCTCAGTCGAATTGCAGAGGTTCTGAAAAAGAAGGTGCAACACTGCAAATACTGACTCTTTGCATAAATATCACTGAACACTAATATTTGTGTCCCTATCAAAACGTTTGGCAACTGTACATGTGTTTTGTGAACTTGGAGTAGGCATTTAACTGTGTCCCTGTGTCCAATGGGGGGTGATCTGGGAGTATGGGGAGTTTGGCACATTGCTATGGGCCATTCAATCCTATGTAAGATAAATAAATCTGACTAATTTCCAGGGGTGATGGACTCTGCCAGGGCTGCCCTTTGCCACCGATTCTGTTGATAATTTTTATGGACAGAATTTTTAGGCATAGTCAAGTGACGGAAGGCTTTCACTTAGGTGGCCTCAGATTCTCATCTCTGCTTTTCGTGGATGATGTTTTTCTGTTGGCTTCATCGGGTGATGGCCTCCAGCCCACACTGGAAGGGTTCGCAGCTGAGTGTGAAGCGGTGGGAATGAGAATCAGCACCTCCAAATCTGGGGCCATGGTCCTCAGCCGTATAAGGGTGGAGTGCCCACTCTGGGTCTGGGACGAGTTCATGCCCCAAGTGGATGTGTTCAAGTAATTCAGGTTTTTGTTCACGAGTGATTGGAGAAGGGGCCAGGAGAACAACTGGTGAATTGGTGCTGCAGCTGCAGTGATGCGGACTCTGTACCAGTTCGTCGTGGTGAAGAGGGAGCTTAGCACTGCCACTGTTCAAAGAGGGTTGTTCACAGCAGACATAGATGGCTTCTTTCACTCCTCTTTAAAACCATCTTTCTTCTCTGTCCAAAATGTGAACATTAGTTTCCTTGAAAGACTAACCATTGTCCTTATGAACAACCATCTTTGAACAGAGGCGGTGGCTTACCACACAAGCTGTCTGCTATCTATAATCCAGTTTTGAGATCTCTTCCATGACACCTTAATGTCCACTCACATCCTGGGCCTCTTGACCTCAGGAAATCACATGATAGGGTGGAGCTAGGTTGCACAATGAGTTCACCCAGTCGAGGAAACAGTAGGGGGTCCATGTCCCCCCTTGGGGGACACTCCGACAGGACTTAAATGTGAGACTGTCAGGGTTTCTGGGTCGTTGACCCAGTATTTTCAGTTCACGTTCACTGTTTATCTACTGCCTGTTCCACTTCCTGTTTTATTGTGTTAGCCTTGGTCTGTGTGCATTA